TGCGCGTTACCCCTCCCTCAATTTTTACTTGCATAGGTCAGGTATATTGAATTTCCCTATGTGCCTTTACTGTAATCAGAGGAAAGGATCAGTCATTTTTTTAAACATTGTCGCCGTTTCGATTTATTCAGACAAAGCATACAAGCACCATCTCTTCAAAGACTGGGCTAGCAATTATCACAACCTCATCTTCTTTCTTTTGGAGCCTCTACACTGGGTTTCAGCCACAGGGATGTTTTATTCGCCATTCAGGAATACATCACTGCGACTAAACTATCTTCTTGCTAAATTACGGTGTCACTATTTTTTTTTCATTTTTTTTCAAACTTGATATCGGCATTTCAAATTAAAATTAAGTTACAAAAGTTTTGTAAGAAAGACGCAATGCTGAAAGTATAGGGCGAATTCACCTTATAATCGGCCAATCCCCTCCTTTGGGTACGAGCTATTTGCACAGGGAAACAACAACAACAACATATATGTCACGCGCGAGAATGAAGAAAATAAAACTGAATAAATCTGCATATTCTATAGGGCACACACGTAAGATTTTATCTAGCTACCACATTGCAAGTCAGCAGCGTGTAGCAGTCTTAACTCACGAATGTGGCTTGTTGGTTTACGTCATTGAGCTCCACAAAAACTGCAAAAGGCTCGCTTTCAAATAGCTATGGCAAACGCCAACTGCTAGAACATATTTCACATGATCGCGAGTTTTTCATGTCCTACGAAGAGCGCATAAATCACCACCAAGAAAAGACTTAATTGATGGCTGGCCCATTTTTAGCCTGACATTACCCTCAGATTGCTTGAAGAGAGGTGAGTGATTTTTTACCAATTGCTTTTCAGATTATTTTTGGGTGCATTTTTCTTAATATGACTGAGCAGGCGCTTCATCGATTTATCTTCCAAAATTTTAAAAACACCACCTCAAATATGTTTTCCTACAGCCTGTATGTAAATAACGCATCACCCGAGTGTCATAAGTCACGGATGCCAAAAGTAAATGAATTCACAAGCGGACGTGATAGTCGTATACGCGCAAAACTTATGTACGCAGAATCGCAATGACGCAAGATCTTAGTGATGGCTAAGCGTAGGGGCGGTGGCAAAGTGGTCACGATGCTCGCGAGATGACCTAAAATTCGTCGAACCTCTCTATGGCGCTCTCATTGTTTGATCAATGTGACATTCTTGTGGCCCGTCTACTGCATTTAGATAGATAGATAGATAGATAGATAGATAGATAGATAGATAGATAGTTAGATAGATAGATAGATAGATAGATAGATATATAGATAGATAGATAGATAGATAGATAGATTAGATAGATAGATAGATAATAGATAGATAGACCTATTGACTTAATAATTGATTAAAAGAACGTTATAGAGATCCTGCGGGACGCCCTTTAGCGCGCAGTGGCAACTTCCACGTCAGAACCGCTAGGCCAAGCCTTTCGGTCGCTTCGTGGGCCTGCTCGACAGCCCAAAGCTGGTCGGCCAGGAGCGGGCTGTGGATCGCCGCCTCACACTTGACCATGGAGGAGGACACTGGGCTTGATTCGGGGTGCCTGCAGGGCATGCGTGCTAATGTGGACTTCTCCTTACATGCGGGTGACGCGTCATTCAGATAGTTCTACTGGTATTTTTCATTTAGTGTACAAAGATTCAGGTACGTCTCCACCTGGAGCAATTTAAACCTAAGCGCCTGAAGTAAATTTCAATTGCGTGTGAGGAGGAGAGTACTTAGATAATAGTTCTTCGTCATTTTATTGGTAGCGGGAACGTCCCTTCCGTCCGAAGTCTAGTCAAGGTTGAGCCCGGTGTTCGCACAGACGGTGAGGGCGCGCCGATGTGATGTGTGGGGAACCATGTTAGAGAACAGTTTGTCAACCTGTCCGGTGCGACTCTGCGGTGGGCTCTGGGACTGTTCACAGATTACTCCACACTCGTATGTACTTTACATTGATCCAGAGTCGTTGTATCTAATTGTTGATATCATTAAGTGTGAATGCAATGCTTCTGCTCTGTTATGACTGGGTGCCCAGTTCGTATAGGCGCGAAATTTCGGAGCTGCCTCCTCTTATCTGCAACAGACAGAGAAAAGGTAGGTCGCCCATGGTAGGCCACCGTATCAGCGAAACTGGCCTCGTGCTTTTCATAATACATTTGCCTGAGTATAGTTGTGGCGCTTGCCCCAACCATACTTGACGAAGCCATGTTAATGAGGTCGCGTATCTGCGCGGGTAGCTGACACTTACGAGCCCCCTTGACGGTAGGTGTGGGGCTAAACACCTTTAAAATATGTCTGCCAACTCTCATTGTGAAAAGTTTCACGTGTAGCGTTTTTTCTTGGGTCTCCGCAATATCTTCAAGGGTGCTGTGGACGCCAAGTTGAAGGAGGTGGTTGGTCTTGGTAAAATCGTTATACTAATGGAACGCTTAGAGATCTCCTGGAGCAGCGTGTTTAGGTTGTCCCTTTCTGCCATCTGTCTTGTGCAGTGCCGCAACGCAAAGGAAGTCGCATAAGACAAATGCATTCACAAGGTGATGATTTGTCTTTCCTTGCAGCTGGGGTGGCGATTGGCAACACTTCGGGGGAGACGTAATGCGTTGTCTGTCTTCGTTGGGAGCTTCCTTATGGTCATTCCGTTAGACACAGTGGACTTGACAGTTATGCCCAAAATCTGTACCGAGTCGACTTTGAGTACTGTGGTTCGTCGGCTTTTGTGTAAATGAATATCGCTGTCAGCCCACAGTTTTCACCCCGCATTAATATCTACCTCGTTTAGATGCACGTCAAACACGCGAGATGGTCTACATTTCCGGCACCAATGCGGCGTCGGCACCAATACGGCGGGTATTAAGGTGTATAGCAGTGCTTAAGTTGGATGCCACCAAATAAGGTTCTTTCTAAAGGAAGAAACGTGCTGTCTACCTGAGGAACATGTTGATTATTTTGTTTGATGCTACCATTCCTGAAAACAGTGCATTTTCTTGCAAATATATAAACGCAGCGATTCAAGACTATTTCTATTTGATTAGTCTTGTGTAAAGAATTGTACAACGTAGTATCATTGTGTTCTAAGACTACAGACATATCTTAAGCAGCCGTGGTACTTTCATCATTGCACAACAGTGAAAAGTGTGCTATTTTTAGAGTAAGTCATATTTTGGGTCGGGGATACAGGTGAGTTGTGCAAAGAGGCCGGTGTCGAAAGTGTAACACCAGCACAACGTGTTCTCCTTTCGTAGTGCATGGTTACCTATTAGAGCTCATTTTCGCAGCTGTCCAGTCTCCTACCATAATATGATCACCCTCATAGTTATTAGGCAAAATATTTTATTTGTCATCAGATAGCAGATATGCTGACTAAACTGTTTCTATCTAAAATTCTGCTTAGCACAATACCTTTCTCGGTGATCCTCATTGCGTTGTACGTGTTCTTTAGACCGTTTACTCATGAACGTTCCATCTAGGTAGAAGTTCGTCCTGTTTTGAAAGCATATTAGTACTCGGCACAAAAGAAACAAAGTTTTAAAGTAATACCTGCTCCCAATCCAGTAATATTGTCTCATAAGACGGACACCATGATGCGTTGATTTATTCACTACATCAAACTTGCATCTTATGGTAGTAGGCTCCGTCGTCTCCAGTGTCCATATGACTCCATTTTTATCATAAAACTGGAAGAAAAAATATTGTGGTTCATTTGCAATTAGTGTATCGTTCACTGAAGACAAATGCATAATAAATATCTGTTGTGAGAACTCATTATAGGTTCTCTGATTATACGCAGCTAGGATTCTACCCATCCGAATATGACTTACATTCGTCTCAGAAAGCCTTCATTTTTGCAGTCCTTCGCGTGTGTTGCAGCACGAGGCTCTAAAGCAGCCTGATCTGAATATAAGATGGCTTGAAATTTTTAAGAATGCTACAGTTGATTCTCATAGACTTAGTTGTCTCTTTGCATGTATACAAGTTCTTCATCTCAGGAGTCCACAAGAATAGCATCCTTTCCTTACAGCATTACTCTCTGCCTTCATTGATTGTCAAAATGCATTCGCCTCTGCAGAGAACAAAAAGTGTAGAGAGACGGGCAGATCGAAGAGGAGCTTGAGAAAGGAAAGGTGAGAGAGTCAACCAGGCGAGAATCCGCTTTGCTATCTTACACCAGGGGAAAAGAATTCAGGGATGAAAAGAGATCGATGATAAAAGAGAGATAGAAAAAAGAGAACAAAAAAAGTGAGATTACACTAGACTTCTGCGCGTCAATAGTAGTGAACACAGGACATAAGGCGTATTGTCTTCCACAGTAGGTCGTCGGTTCATGGTGCCTACTAAAGGCCTGCAGGCACTGGACGTAAGACGTCCCACACCTGCTGTTTGGCCTCAGTGTGTGGTGACTTCACCCTGCCGACGAACACTTCAAGTGTGAAGCGCATCGAGCAGTGATTGAAGAAATATTAGGATGGTTTTTTTTAGCAATGCGGAAGTGCGCTGTGAATTCGGCAACGGAGGCCAAACTCTGTCCGTTGCGTCCATGGTGGTCTTGTGGGTATCGACCATCGCTGATCTACGTGACTGTGATTTTGGCAATGTAGACTAAGTAGAATCCAGTGAAACCATGATTTCGACTGCTTTCTGCTTCATTCCAGCCGAGTACAATCCGGGTGAAGAAGTAAAGGGTCAAGCAGGGCATTGTATGAGCCCTAAGGATGCGGAGACACTACATTTTTTGAGCAATTACAAACAGCAATCACGGTTGTTAAAAATTTCTCTCACAAAGCAGGACTCTGCTCATTTGCCAAAAACTTAAAACTGCTCATTTACCAGCCAACAATCGGTGCAGAGAAAGGAAGTTTTCCAGATCTCAATAACCACAGTGAACGGTTCCTTTATTCGCACCGTACGAAGAGTTAGAATCCTCGGTATGTTCCTGGAGGAGTATGGGAGTAACGCCTACACTTTTGAACGCATCGCACCCAAAGCTGATTTCATGACGAAATTACTCACAAGGGTGGCCAACAAACGAGGGTGGTTATCTGAGGAAAGACTTCAACTTTTGCACGCCTATATAAAGAACAACAACAACTACATCTCTCTGACCCACAGGTGGAGCACAAGTGACCGAGGCAGATAAGAATAAATAATTCGCAAGGTTATCAAACACGTGTTCGGTCTACTACATGCACCAGTACAGAAAGTTTATTAGCAATGGGTGTGAACAACACTTTTGTAGAAATACTAGACGCCCAACAGGTTCATAAGCGGCAGGACTGGTTTCCATGGAAGCTGGGAGACATGCAGTTTACTAGCCCATATTGGCATACGTTATACCATCACAAGACAGAGAGGGTGTGCGCGCTCCCCATCAGTCAGGAAAATACATTCTGCATCCAAGATACCTAGACAAATGCACCCCCCTCCCCTGGTACAATTACAGCAGACGCAAAACGAGGACCCCCGCCGCAGTGGTCTAGCGGCTAAGGTACTCGGCTGCTGACCCGCAGGTTGCGGGATCGAATCCCGGCTGCGGCGGCTGCATTTCCAACGGAGGCGGAAATGTTGTAGACCCGTGTGCTGAGATTTGGGTGCACGTTAAAGAACCCCAGGTGGTCGAAATTTCTGGAGCCCTCCACTATGGCGTCTCTTATAATCATATGGTAGTTTGGGGACGTTAAACCCCATGAATCAATCAAATCATATCAAAATGAGGGCCAGAGCCCTTGTTAGCACAGTGGCTACGATTGAGGATAAGGTTGCGAGCAGCTACGTCACCACGGGGGGAGCTGTTGATATCAATTACGCTTAAAAACGAGGATGCCTACAAGGCCGGACAGGTGGCAGTGGCAAGCGCCGTGACCACTACTAACCATCCTACTACTTTCACGTACTCCCGAGCCGCCACTAGAGCATCCATAAAAGGCTTGGTGTTGTGCAAAAAATGTGTTCGCATTCTCTCTGCTGAATTTCGGAGAGGCAAAAAAAAAACATCTATTTCATTTGCTTGTCACATAGGCAGTGATGCTCATGAAACCATCCCTAACGCCAATGAACTTGCGAACTCCCAGGCGCGACGTCTCACCCACCACGCCGGAAGGGGGCACTCGGAGGCCGAGGGAGGGAAGTGGCAAAAGAACCCTATTTTCTCCTTCAACGATGCCTGTATGCACCATCAACTGGGGCGTCGGCAGTTTCCACTTCCACACCCACACCTAAACACGCCGCCGGCAATCACCCTGCGATAGTTACAGACGAACACGTATCCATCTCCGTTTATATTATCAAAATTATTAGAAAGAACATATCCACGCTGTCCACGTTTTGGCCACCTTAGTGCCCATGCAAGTAGTTAGAGGTTTGGGGTATTCCTTTGAGAAGGAAGACCGGCTCCGGCTCATCACCAGCTTCGCAAAAGACCAGTAGCTTAGGGCTGTCCAGAGAGCCCACCAAGTCACTGAGAGTCCAAACCTCCCGGCACGTTCATGGGTGGGGCCCGCAGACGGTACTGTTTGACAGAGGCACTCGTCTTCTCAGGAACAAAAATAAAGCTCTTTTTTTTTGGTATGAATGAGGGCTGCTCTATTTATTTGGAAGTAAAGGAAAAAAAGCTGAACGGTCAAAAAACAAATACAAAATTGTGATACGAGCTCACCGCATGTTTCCGTTGTGTAATTCACTAGGTCTTCACGCTTTTTTGTGTGTGTGGACACTGAAATGTTCCGTTACGGCTTATTGTACTAGCCTACAGCGGCCACTTCATGTACTGATTGTGGGTTTACCGTATATAACAGCCGCCTGATTATATTTCTATTTAGCTGCTAAGACGTCAGTGTACAGACCTGTTATGATGAATACAGTTACCATTGTTTTTATATATCTTCTTCATGTGCTGAATATTATTGGCTGCTTGATTTGCCACCTTCGCAAGGCGCCGTAACAGTCTAGAAAATACTGCCCAGGGCTAAGAGAAGTTATTTGAAGGGGTCTGGTTAACGATGCTGACTACAGAAGAAGACGCTTAAGCTGTGCTCCTGGGACTGTTATACCACGCTCCGTCTCGCTTGCTCAGCTCCCTTAGTGTGCGCTGACAATATTTTCCTGTAGCACAGACACCCTCTTTACTGCAGCATACTGCACGCGGAGTATGATAGGTATTTATCGCTACTTATTGTGACCCTATTATGAGTATTATAATAGCATATGTATTCATCTATGTTTGAGATTACGAAGGCCCCAAAAGGTAAACGACGCACAGTTCGTAAATAGCGGCATGGGGACGAATCTATAAAAAGTGTGCCGCTGTCTGGAGTTACTATGCCTAATACGTAGAATGTCATTTAAATAACGCTGCTAAGTGTGCCGCGGCGAACAGCGGCAACACACTTCTTTTATGTTTCCAATATGAAAAATAAACACACAAAACTCTGGGCTTTGCAGTTGAAAGACTAAGTCTGAGACGAGACGCCGCTTTCCAAACACAAAACGATAAAAATTCAACAGTTTAGTTCTGGCTGTAGCATAAAAAAGTGCTAACGCAAAAGTATGTGATTTTTTTTCATTTTATAACTAACCATGTACCGCTCGTTTCATCGTAATGCTCAGTCGTGCCTTCTTAGAGGTAAGGTCCCTTCCAGCCACCAGGGAACCCTGGGTACGCACATACACGTTCCACAACACTTCTTTTCGGCTTTATGCCAACATGGCTGTAAATGAAAGAAAAGAAAATATAGCTTACCCTGGTGATATCTGCATTTTCTGTTGAACCGGGGATCTTTTTCTGGCACTTTAGGCACGTCATAAGGGCAGCCAAGACAAATGCTTTGAAGAGTTTTCGTATGGCCATCATTCCGATTTCAAAAGATGCGTCAATTGCATATTTCTGTATGTTTTATAACCACTGTAACAATGGCGCTAACGCATGTGTATATATATCGGGAACAAATGTTTTTCCCTGTCTTGAAGTACTGAAAGAGCTTGACAATAATATCACTACTATTTTCATTCCGCAAGATGAATGATAACACAGAAAAGCTTATGGTTTCCTTGAACGAGGAGACCACCCGGAGCAAAGAGGTCAAATAGTGTTTCAATAAAGACGCCCATTGGCCTTCTCGCTTTCCGCACAATGATTGTGTGCAGCTGAACAGCTGCGAAATGGTTGTTGTTTGAGGTTTTATAACGATTGTTGAGAACACCTATAAAGAACGTGTTTCGGTGCGAAACACTCCAGATTCTGGATTGTGCTCATATATAATTTGCTTCCTGTATAATGCTACTGAGCTCCAACGAAACGCTTATGGGTGGCTCTACCGGTATTAAAGTACGACATCGAATTTCCGCCGAAAAGAATTGTCCGACGTTGCTGCGTCCGGCAGCCAGGTACGTTGTAACAAGCTCAAGATATTAAATAGGAAAGACGGAGTTTGTGCCACGCGTCTCGAGCGCAATAAATTATTGCTGCTTCACCATTGGGCCTGCAAAACTTGTTCAGGGCATACATGATTGCTACGTACGGAAATGTACACGCTGTGAAGCTGTGCAGTACTTCATTCCTAGGCTGCTAGATGGGGTTGTCCTTGCCGAAGTGGTCAGTATATCAAACACGCTCACGTCAAAACACCAGGTGGCGTTTGTCGCATAGCGACATGTTCTTCTCCTTGCCAAGATCAAAAGCCGTGCAGCTCATGAATCGGCTACCCGGTCGGAAGATTGGGTCTCGTGTTATGCGCAACTTTTCTGTTCATGTCAACAGAACTCAATCAGTTAAGCAACAAATATGTCCAAATGTACTGCTTATTAGCAGCACTAGAAACATTACTCTCAACCAGTGACCAGGTTTCAAAAATTAAGCTCACAAAATGTGGCGGGCACTTGACCCCTATTTTGTTTACGGGTGTTTTTTTCCTACTGTTATTAGATTTATGAATTGAAACCAGTTTACTGTTACTCAGACTCTGGCGTCAGCAACTCGCTTTTTGAACAAACAACGTCACCCACTACGGGGGACGAACTATCACTGCAGTTATTTAAAGCAGAGCTGTCATGGCCGAGGTCAGCCGTGTCTACTGAGTTGAAATTTACTGTCATCACGAACCTGCACACGCTCCGTCACTTCGTGAAGCAGTCGATACAAAAGGTAACAAGAGAAACTGTGATGTGCGGCCGTTAATAGGTGTTCACTGCCCGTGCATTCCCTTGATAAGTTTTAGGAGGTCACAGTAGTCCGTATAGATAAATTTTCAACATATCTGTAGCATACACAATATAGAAGCGTTACAGTGATTTTCTGGCATACAGATCGAAATGGCTTTATTTGGTCATACAAGTATTCTGTATACTACTCTCAGCAAGTACGAGGATAAGCTATTGCTGGTAGTTTCTTTTATTTTAACATGACGTTGGATTGTCAAGTTGCCCACTCACTGATATTGATATTACCATGACGCCAGCTTAGACCCTAAATGCTGGAGACTTAAGCTGATATACCGGTGTGGCAAGTTGTGGCGACAACAATTAGACATATTCTTTTAAAAAGATCGGCCTTCTTAGCTTGGCACCGCTTGTGTGCTTAGAATGATTTGGCAAGCTCTACCCTACTTTCTTCCATGATCAACGTTCCCCTAAAGGTTGCTGATGCTGCTAGTGTGCTAAAAGGGTACATAGTAGCCAACTTGGAAAATAAATTTGCGAGAAAAGAATTAGAAAGAAGCAGAACGGTTGGGTGTTAAACTTCAATATTTATTTGAAAGATTACTTGGCAGCTGATGAAAGCGCGTTGAAAGCAACACGTCTAGATAAAAAGAAGGCAAGCTCGCAGTCTTTCAGTGCATCGACTACCGTTAACACAACTTCAACAAGCTTGCCAACAGACATGGTGTGCACGTAGTCTTCTTGGCACCACACAAGTTGACAGGGCTCAGTCCGCAGATCAGTCGTATAACAAAAAGCTCGGAATTCAGAAGAAGCGCACCAGACCTCATGTGAGATGTGCGAAGAGTGTGTTTTGTTTGAACGACCGAGCTCGGGAGAATAAATTATCCTTAGGAAGTAACCTAAATGAGCACTATCCTGCGCATTCCCTATAGTCTGCAGATGTGAGCTGCGGCTTCCTGAGATTACCATAATATGCAAGAGCAACAACTCGTTAGCGAGACAGTTATTGCAGGCCACGTTGTATCAGTTATGTCACATATCGAAAATCAGATGCAGCTGTTTGATGGGTGAGTGCGACGTGTGTTTGCCAACATTGATGGTCGCATACGCAGATAGTTGGAATCTGGTGACATATTATTTCAAATAAGCATAATACCATAGGCGCCCGACCATTCTGATCCCTTTACCTCTTTTTGCGAGTCTTCATTTTTCAAGTTCATGCTACCGTAACCCTTTGAAATAACGAACACGGCCAACAATAAGTCTTACCCGACTACACTACTCTCGTGCTCTGAGCCATACAAATCTGTCGGCACCCCTTGTTAAACCCCTTTGACACCTGAAGGAGTATTATTATTCCGTAGTCTGACAGTGAGCTGTTCGTGCAGACTGCCCGTATAAGTGGTCTCCTGTGCACTGCTTTTGTCCAACGTTGTGTGAAATGCATCGGACAGTTAGCCGTGAAACCAGGATAGCTCATCAGGTACATTTCTCGCACTCCACGGTGCCGTCTTCATGGCTTTTACAGCTAAAGTTGCTATGAGAGCACGTTTAGGGTCTCGCGCAGTTGCGTAGCTGCCCGCCGCCACCACCGGTGTCCGTAACGACATCGCGCGAAATTGGAAAAACAAATTTAGTACCAAGCAATCGCACAGTGGGGCTTGAACCCGGCTCCGCTGGGTGCCAGCGCAGTATTCTAACTGTGAGCCACGCCGGTGCTTTGAAGTTGTTGGCAAGCTTGCCTTTGGCGGGCTTGATGTCGGGAAAGCAATCCTGTGAATAAGACCTATAAAGTGTTTTAAAACAGCGAAAAAACAAGCAGCATGGCACAATGCGAATAGCATAACGAGTGGGTCGTCAATGCTCGAACCATTTGAAAAAGCTTGTTTTAAATGGAAAGCATTTCTTAGCGAACTGCGGCGACTTTGATCTATCATACTATCTATCTATCTATCTATCTATTATACTACTATCTATCTATCTATCTATCTATCTATCTACTATCTATCTATCTATCTACTATCTATCTATCTATCTATCTATCTATCTATCTATCTATCTGTCTATCTATCTATCTATCTATTCTATCTATCTATCTATCTATCTATCTATCTATCTATCTATCTATCTATCTATCTATCTAGCCGCCTACGACTTTTAACCCTCCTGTCCATTTGGATAATGTTATCAATACCAAACTTGGTATAGCATAACATGACTGTATGATGAACATATTTGACTAATCACAACACGAAAATAATGAAATGTATATTATGGGTGTCATGATTTACATTTCATGGTCCTGCAGCTCTTGCGGTGGTTTAGTTCACATGGCATGTTGCAAAACTGGTATGGTATGGCATGATTGCAAGGCGAACACAAGTGACAGACCGTAACATAAAAATCATGATATGCGTGTCATGTAACAACATGACTACATGCCACGCTCATTATGCGCTCACAGCCATTTCGCTACCGTCGCGTATACCAAATTTGGTATACAGTACGTGAGTGGATGACCAAGGTATGTGACTGGTGCAAAACATGATAATCATGAGATTCATGTCCTCTAACATGACTACTTGCCACGCTCATGAAGCGCTGGCGGCCGTTTCGCTAGCTTCATTTATACCAAATTTGCGATTGTGGGACGTCAATAAACGAAGAAGGTATGATACTGGTGCAAACATGGTAAACATGATAGCCGTGTCATATAACAACAAGGCTACATGCTACGCTCATGACGCGCTCGCGGCTGTTTCGCTAGCTTCACATGTACTAAATGTGGTATTACGCGACGCAAATGGACGACATAGGTAAATGACACATTCAAACATGATAATAAAGACTCGCGTGTCATGTAACAACATGACTAAATGCCACACCGACAATGCGCTGATGGCCGTGTCACTAGCTTCACAAATGCCAAATTTGGTATTACGTGATGCCAATGGATGACAACGGTATGTGACTGGTGCAAACATGATAATCGTGAGATGCGTGTCATGTGAGAACATGACTACATGCCACAGTCAAGGCGCCCATACACTTCGACGGGACGCGGTGTGCATGCTCGCCGGCGTTCAAGTCGTCGCGTCACGCTGGCTTTGCCACGCCTGGTGCCGGTCCTGCCATTTACTCGCAGGCACGCGCGTGCTGCATTGCTTTGACGCATGCACGTTTCAGCGCGTCCGGCGTCCCCCCCGTCACGAAAGGAGACAGTGAATCGGTGTGAAATGCAGCATGTTGCATTTCGCGCCAGTAGCTATCAGGCCATGCCGACGGACGCTGGTCGCGCCTGGCGTCAGACTGTAGAGGACTCGCGTTTTGCTAACCTTGCGTCGCTGTGCCAAGCGTGCGCGCACGTCAATGCTTCATCGGAGTATATTGGGCCCTTCCTGACGCGCTGGCGATAAGTTTGCTGGCTCCACATATACAAAATTTGGTGTTATGTGACATCAATAGATGACGAAATATACGACTGGTGCAAACATGATAATCCAAACACGCGTCAGTGTCCTAAAAGGGGCACAAATATTACGCAGCCACACAATAACTTAAAAATCAGTTGTAATTATCGGCTGCTCAAAAGTGCTCGTATGTATCATATTGAAATATTGCCACGTTCCATTTCCCAATTTTCGCTATTGTCCTAAAACACTACACAACTCTCAGCGCAAACCGCGCCTGCAGTTTTCGAGAAGCTTCCGGACTGTAGTAGATCATTTGGATAAGATCACGCCCACTCTGCGAACTGTACAGATTATTC